TGGACCTCCAGCTTCAGCTCACACTGGTTAAACTGGCTGGGCAGGGGCCAGTCCAGAGGAGGGGGCGATGAGGACCTGGGGACACATCATGATCAGATACTGTCTGACACCAAACACTCATCCTAAAGAAGAGAATTTCTGAAGGGTTTCCAACATTTGTTCATGTTCGCATCATTCACTAGAGTTAGAGGATAGAAAATTTTCCCTGATTTTTATAGCTGGGCAATTTGGGAAATATGCTTATGCGCTTTCTGATATCACTCGAAGCAACTGCTTGAAGCGGGTTAGCTTAGCTTAGCTTAAAGAAAGGAAACGGGGGGAACAGCTAGTCTGGATTTGTCCAAAGTTCATAATTACACCAAGCAACACATCTAAAACTAATAAACACTATAAAACACCATACTGCAAACAGAAACTGTGAAATAAAAAGTGTGAAAAGGCCGACTTTCTTTAATAAGATTTAAACAAACAAGATAAAATGTGTTATTTAGAGCTAAATTCAGATGAAGGATATTTATATTACAGAGGTAGAGAATCTTCCTAAATGTCCTTATACTGTATTTCTTTCTGTAAATCCATTAATTGACTACTTGTTAAAGCATTTCAATTAATTGTTGTTGTTAATTGTACATGTTAAAAGTAAGCAAACAAAAGCTGCCTAATTTTCCGAGAAGCAGACATTTAAAAATCCGAGTAAGTTGTGTGAAATGAAGCCAACCTGAAGAGAGGAGGTTTCCAGGTTTGGGTTTGTTCCAGCTGAAGTGGGAGGGCACCTGAAGGAAGAGCTCGGCCAGGCCGTCCTGTTCACGTCCCTCCTCCCCGGGGGAATCCAGGAAGGTCTCCAGCCCGGGGTCTCCCTGACCGGCCACGAGCCCAGCTGGCTCCCCGACGTCCTCCTGGTCTTGGAGGGGACGTCCAGTTCCTGGTAGCCGGACATCAGAAGGGATCCCAGGGCGCCGGCGGGGCTTCCCGCCCAGGTGTCGTCCGTCACGCTGCCTCGTGGAGAGGCGCCCGGTGTGGGGCTGGGGGAGTGGTGAGGGGACGGCGAGCGGGCCTGGGGGTCGGCACTGGCGTGGCGTCTCTTCCCGCAGGGGGAGGTCGGTCTGGATGACGGCCTGAGAGAGGGGAGGCTGGGATTAGCAGGGTTTTAACCGGCGTTAATGCTGAATTAATTCAAAATTCAAATTCTCCCAAAGATTAAAAATCAAACTAGCCTTTCTGTAGATTATTAAAAGTCTTTTCTAAACCAAAACATTTGTTCAGTCAACGTTTCTGTCTGCACTTGATTATGGAGATATTCTGTCAGACCGCCCCACAGTCACCTCAGCAGTTACCCCTGTTCATCACTTCATACATTTCCTGCTCATCATTGATCTCTGTGTAATTAAACATCATCATAATACTAAAATCTCTCATTATTTTTACCTACAAAGCTCTACTGTTCAAGCCGCACAGCCGTTCCCTCATTTAAATCTTGTAACTACAGAAATATGATCTACTTAACCTGAGATATTCCAAATATCTGATGTTTGTTTAAGACTCCTGTAATAGTTTGTATTAAATTGTTAATTGTTGGCAGTCTGGTCCAGTGATGTCTGTGTGCAGCCCGAGAGAGAAAAACCAGAGAAAAAAAGGTCAGCAAAGCACTTCCTGCTGCTCACTAAGCTTACTGCTCAACATTTTAATCTTCTGTCTCTTATCTGGATTTCAGCAGCTGGACAGTCGGCGTTTAGAGAGAAGTTAGTAGAGATAAACCAACAGAAATGATGCTTTTGGCAGGCGCTTTAGCAACAAATGTTCCTTTTTCTCAGCTCTCTCTTTGTCTCAGTGCTTAAATAAATAAAGTTACTCGTGTACCTGGAGGTGGGCCGGCGGTGCAGCCAGCTCTCCTCTGTGACACTGGTGCGAGGGGAGTGGCACGGCGACTGACGGGGCGATGATGAGGCGACAGCGCCGGGCTGAAGGCCTGAGGATGCTGGTACATCTGCTGCCACAGCTCCACCCCGAAGGCCCCGCCCCCGCAGCCGGGGACCCTAGAGGTGACCCGAGGGGGGACCCAAGGGCGAGGCGGGCGGCGTCGCTCAGTTCCCCCTCCACGTCGTCGTAGACGTGGGAGAAGGACTCGCAGGAGGACAGGTCGGACATCCAGCTCCTGGAGGACAGGCTGCTGCAGGGGCTCGGGCAGAGCGCTGTATCGCGGTAGCAGGGGTCCAGGGGCAGGTAGAGCTGGCCTCTGGACCAGGACGCATCGGGGTAACCCCCCTCTGCCCCGCCCGCCGCCAAAGCAACCTGGCTACTGCCTGGGTCAACATGATTATTAGGGGCGATGGAGGTGATCTGGATACTCGGGCAGTCAAAGGCTCTGGGGTTCCCCTGGGCCCCGTACTGGGGCCCCTGGCATTGGTACCCGTCTGCAGTGGAGAAGCATAAAGGGTGACTCTGCAGCTCCTGGAAGATGGGCTGCTCGGTCAGAGCCTGTGTGGAGGCTGGAGGTGTCCTCACATTGAGATCTGGACCTGCGAGGTGAAAGAGGTAAACAGACATGTAAATCAGACGGGAGATCATTTGCATGGCAAATAAGTTAGTTTGTTATTGGCAGCGGTTTCAGGGCCGCACCCGACAGTTACCATTCATGTATCACCGGCAGACATATTCAAAACAGTCGACACAGAACACACATCGCAGTTTCCCCACAGTGTTTTTAGACACTATTTTCAAAAAGCAGAGCAGTTTACTACATGTGTGGCTATTGTTCAGGGCACCACAAAGAAACGCCCTTTTCATTGTGGCGTTTCTCCAAGTGACACTCTGCTGCTCTGTTCTTACGTCTGAATAAGAAGGAAGCATACTTTCACCTTACCTCTACCTTACGCACACAGGCCTGAAACACACGGATGTTTGGAGCGAGTTGGCTGCCTCATAGGATGCCCACATGAACAGAGTTAGGGTTTGGTGCCTTGTTCGGGGCACCTCGGCGGCCTGGAGGTGAACCGGCAGCTTTCCAGCTACCAGTGCACACACTAAACTGACTGGTCCGAGCTTCTTTCATGTAAAATTTCTTCTCATTTGGTTCTGGAATTCAGTGTTTGTGCATCACACACCACAATGACTAATGCTGCTGAAATTACTAGTCAGCAGTTCATCAGTACTGTAGCAATGGTTTCTTTATTAATAACGATTTTCTGCTTTTCTGTTTCTGCAGTTTTTAAAATTGTAGGTCCAACAAATTAGATCCGTTCAGACAGGTATTGTCCTACAAGAGAAAATTCTTTATGCTCTGAAAACTTGAAGAAAATAATCCAACAATTTTGATAATCTGTTGTTAAGGACACTGAACAAGCCAATATCTGCTAGGTTCGCTTAACAAATGTGAGGATTTTTTCAGCTCATCTCAGCTTTAAATGGCTGTAAACTGAACGTCTTTGGGGTTTGGACTTTTGGTCGGACAAGACGAGACGTCACCTCGGACAATGAGGACAGACATCTTTATTTAACAGACTTAAGAGCAACGCACAGCAGCAGTGAGTGACACTCTTCCACACCCATTGTTTTCAAGTGAAGCCCACACACCAGGAGTGTCTCTCAAATGTACTTAAATTCATCAACACCCCAGAAAAAGCATCATTATTTTCAGTCTACACCAGCTGTGAATACTTCCTCTATCTAATGCTGCAACAATTAGCAGATCAATCAGCAGGGCGACTGACAGACTGCAGCTTTATGGCATTATAAAATTAAAACTTGGGCTCTGAGGAACAGTGATGAGCATTTACTGGGTTTTTTACATTTCACAGACAAAACAATGAATCTAATAATCTAAGAAAAATTGTCGGGTCAATTCGTCTGTAACCAATGAGTGTGTGCTGGTGTGTGTCGCACTTTAAAATCCTGAAGACTATGTGATTAATCAAAAAAAGAAATAGTGCACAAACTCATTATAACAGATGAAGACGTTAGCTGAAGCTCAAACAACAATCCATTTCTGCTCTTCTGTTATTCGGCTGAAAAAATCACAAGTCTCTAAACCCCCAACCTCTCAGATCTCAGCAACAGAGCCATCACATGCACTCACCACAGCACATGACCCTGGATGGAAAAAGGCAAGTTAAGCCTCGTCCTCGGCCACACAAGTGCTGAATTCAACTCGAAATGAATGTTGTTATTCAGGAGCATCTCAGAAAATTTAAATATTGTGGAAAAGGTCTTTTTCCTTCTATAATTTAATTCTTCATATTTCTAGATTCATTACATTTACTCATTTAGCTGACGCTTTAATCCGAAGCAACTTGCAATTTGCTATATGTCAAAGGTCGCACACCAACTAGGGTTTAAGGTGCATTCATGTGGTGTTGGAATAATCGGAAAAATGATTTCCCAACTGGGATAATTCACATGCCCCTAAAGTCTGAGAACATTTTGGTACACGAGTTGCTGAAGTCATACACGTAGAAACATGGTGGACAACGTGGTTATAGGTTACAAAGGTTAGAACGGTATTTGCAGTACAAGCAATATTTTAGTGGTTTCAGGTAATCTGTTTGTAATAGAAAACTGTTTTCAGCATACTTAGATGACAATGACAGTCCAACACATCTTTATAGTAGCGTCCATGTTGTTCCCACATTCCAACTTAAAAGCACCGAAGTCGGAAGAACGACTTCACAACTGGGGGATGGGACATCCCAGGAGCAAGTAAATGCACCTACTCAGCGACACATCGCAGTGGGAATCGAACCCAGGTCTCCTACACCAAAGGCACACGTCTTTTCCACTGCTCCAGCGCCACCCCATCCGTGAATTTATTACAATAAAGTGTTTTCTTTAATTATTACGGCTTACAGCTCAAGGAAATCAGAACTCCAAAAGATGTCAGAAAATAGAGAAAAATGACTTCTTTACCACGATGACACATCATGGTACCATGTTGCCGTAGGCTGCGTCTTAAAGCTGATGATACACGGGGCAACTCTTTGAGCAATCTTGCTAGCGGCAATCCGACTATGTTTGAACGGATAGTGGCGGAGCGGTGGGGGAAGGGGATCACGGTAGTAATCTTTACTCATAACCATTGACGGCAAAGTTGCCCTGCACGATTGCTCTAAAAGTTGCTCTGTATATCATCAGCTTTAGAGTAAGGCGTAGAGTGCGGTGCAGGAAACCGTGTAGGGTATCTCAAAACTATATGAATTTTAGAATAAAGAATTTATAATACAGAAATGTTAACGTGAGAAGAGCATTAATCAGCTAATTGACTCAAAACACTTGCAAAGTTTTCATGAGCCTCGAATCTTTCAGTCTGGTTCTGTTGTACTTTCACACACACATATGTAAACTTTTTGAGATGCACATGTCAGTTCAAGTCAAATTTATTTATACAGCACAACAACCAGAGTTGACCAAAGGGCTGAACACACTTATACAGTCGAAGACATAAAAATTAAAACCAGATAAATTAAAATAGGCCAAAAAATGAATGCCATACAGCAATAAGACAGAAAACAAGACACTTAAACTTAAGTGCCCCTAAACAGAATCAAACGCCAAAGAATAAAATGCGTTTTAAGAGCAGACTTAAAAATCCCAATGGTGGGGACGATCCGATAATCAGGGTAGTTTATTCCACAGTCTCAGGCCACCACTGAAAAGGCACGATCGCCCTTTTTACATAGCGATGGAGAGTATGTGATTATACAATATATCTATGCTCTAGAGCATAACGCACACTCTGTGATAACAAATTTCCACATAGCGTGCATAAAATCCATCTATCTAAACGCCTGTTCATGCCATGTTTATGCTTTACTATAGTGGTTGGTAGAGCAAAATAAACCTGAGCTGTCATGCCATGATTTAGAGTACTGGAAGGCAGGGAAAAAAACATATATTCTTGTTTATTTACAATATAATTATATATCTTTGAGCCTCTAAAAATCACTTTTTGGTTGAACCTGTCACAACTTATATCTCTTTGCTCCCTGCCTGCTGTTAATGTTTTGTCTCTGTAGTGACGTGTTTTTATTATTTTGTCCATGCACTTACAGAGCATTTACAGTGCAGTTACAAAGTTCATGCACTAGGCTAATGTGGTGACAGATTATCCTCCACAGTTCTAAAGGTTCATTAACACAGCTGCACACACTCCTCACCACATCTCTACTATTAATACCCGTCTTTCTCGCTCTAACACATACCTTGCATGCTACATGCAAAAAGGCGTCAAAGCGGCAACTGCGATCTGCTTCACTAACTCCACTCTGCTGCTTCTTT